AGCGCGGGCGGGGAGGCGAGCTCAGCCCGGCGTGAGCGGTGGTGGGAAGGCCTCGTGCGTTTGCCCTTAAAATCGGCTTTTGTTAGAGGCATGTGCGTCAGGTAATACGACAGGTGGTATCTTATCCGTGTGAGAAATGCCTTATTTCATCCACGGTTTTTTAAGACCTTTCTTTCTCCGTATTTTCACTTTTCTTTCATCAATTCACTTGGTCCGCATTAATGCCCAATTACTTGCAAGTGTTTAATTGCATAAGCTCTTCACATCAGTCTCCTGAGTGGCCGAATCAGTCTTTCTGGCCAGATGCCCCTTTTTGTTCGTGCTGTTTCAGTTGTTGCTGTTTTGTTGATATCTTTGTTACTTAATTCGTGGTGAGGTTAAGTTGTAAGATATGTGAAATCTGAAATGTGTTTATTTTTGAGGACGAGGAGTGTTCGTGACTGGACAGCCTGCTGTATCTAGGCAAACCAGGCAGGGAATTTCTTACAGCTTCCCACCATAAGATGCAGTTAGTCGCTAAAAAATTGCCTCTCCTCAGAGCAGTTAGGACTTTGCCCTTCCTTTCTGTTCCCACCATTTCTTCCATGCCACCGTACCCTTTGGATATGTCATCTAGTCAGTAGAATAAAATAGTACCGTAGCTAAATTGTTCTTTACGCTCCAGAAGTCTGTTTTTAACAGGCTGCAGATAGCGTTAGCTGGTGTTGACTGTAGCGTCTGATATTTGTAACTTCAACATTTTAGGCGTTTAAAGATACTGGCAAAGCACCTGTGGAACAAGAGGTAGCAATCCATCGCATTAGAATCACTTTGACAAGTCGCAATGTAAAATCACTTGAGAAGGGTGAGTGATACTTTTTTTTTTTAATTGGGGTAGCTTGTTAAGTAATGAATGATATATATGATAAAATGTATTGCAAAATACAATATATTGAAACCAGTTGTAATTAAAGATGTTAGCGTTTGCCTGTTCGTATGTGACTTGGCTAACAAAGTCAACCCAAAGCGCTTCATACACTGACAAGTAGATTCTAATTTAATCTTTAGTGGAAGCTAGTGTTGGGGTTTTTCATCATGCAGAAAACTTCTTGTCGTAATGACTAGCTTAAGAGAGTGCCGCTTCTTCCCTTCAGTTCTTGTGGGGGTTTTAGTTGTCACTATTTGACCGTGTAAGAACTAAAAGGCACCAGTTTCTTGATTGATACTTTGTTACGAAGACTTCTAGTTTAGAAGTTTAACATTCTTTAAGGAATTATTTAATCTTGTTTAGGAACTGGCTTTGCCAGTGTTTTAATCATATAATGTAAATGTTGTAGAATCACTGTTTGATGCAGGATCTTCAGGCTGATAACAGATTACATACAGCTTAAACTTGTAGTAATGGCTTTTACCTACTGTTGGAACATGATTTTGCTAACCATGGCGTAACGCTTCCTCTTGTATGTGGTTGGCTATGAGGATAACCCTTAAAATGAATGGCAATGATCACTTCATACGCTATTCTGAGCCAGCTTCCTGTCTGAAATCTTCACTTAAGAAAACAAGCAAAAAAAATACTCACAAACCTGAGCTATCTTGTATTTTTTTTCAGTTTGTGCTGACTTGATCAGAGGTGCTAAGGAAAAAAACCTAAAGGTGAAAGGACCTGTTCGTATGCCCACCAAGGTACTTAACACTGTTTTTCTGTCTTAAAAGCTTGGGTTTTTTCGGCAAATGTGCACTTAAAACATCTTTTTTTAAAAAAAAAAAAAGTTGAGATGAAAAGCAGTACTGCTGAATTGAGGGTGACCCAGTGTAAACAGATAATGACTTCACAAGTTGCTTTGACACTTGGGGCAATCGTTTAGTGCAAAGCATGTCGAACGTGGAAGGGGCTTTTTTGTCCTTCGATTTATTTTAATCCCGAATTTTTTTTTTAAATTAAATTGAATATAGGGAAGGACTGTTAACTTCAGTAGACTGTAACTTAAGAAGCAACTTTCCGATGACATAGATAACATACAGTATTTTTAGGTGGATTGATTTGATTGTAGATTTCTGTAGATTGTAGTTTTTTGTATGCATCAACTAGACACCTTGTTTATGATTTTTCTTCAGACTTTGCGAATCACTACCAGGAAGACGCCTTGTGGTGAGGGTTCCAAGACCTGGGATCGTTTCCAAATGCGTATCCATAAGCGGCTCATTGACTTACACAGCCCTTCTGAGATTGTGAAGCAGATCACTTCCATCAGCATTGAACCAGGTGTAGAAGTTGAAGTTACTATTGCCGATGCCTAAATGATGGTCATCGTTGAATAAAGTTGATTTACAAATTTTCATCAGCTTGTTTTCGTATGTGTGCCAAGAGTCTTGGGTAGCCCTATGGTGATTTTCATGAAGAAGGACAACAGGGATCATAATCAAAATGCTGTGTGAAAGGATTGTATGATACTTAAGGAAGAATATGCCAGTTGTAAACATCAGGAAGATGAAACTTGGGCGTCATAGTTTCATTGGAGGTTGGTGACTGTATGGACGTGCAGCACTTAAATTATTAAAAAGATATTTTCCATAAAGGATTTAACTTTGGCTGAAATCTTAGTCTATACCCAGACAAGCAGTAGCATTAAAATTGATGTTTAGGTAAATTACCAAGTTTTCAAATCTTAGTTTTTGCTATGCAAGGCTGAACTAACACTTAGCTTACTTGCCTTTTTTTTTTCCCCATGCTTTTTACAGTCAATGACTCCTGAGGATGTTAGTTATAAAACTTCATATTTTGTAGTGAAAACGTTTAATTTAGCAAGTTCTTTCTTCAGACTTGCATGTAGAGTCACAAAACAGCTGTGGAACTCTTCAGTTGTTTTTTTAGGTTTAGATTTCCATAGATTTGAATATTAAAGTTAATATTAAAGGTAAGCTTTCATATGTAAAGCAGTATAACAGCCATTTTCATTGCTGTTACTTAGGCCTCTCAAGTTTGGTGGTGGGTTTTTTTTCTTCTGCGAACTATTCCTTAAAGGAACTGTGATTAATTCTTAAACCTACAAGATACAAAGCCCTGAGTTAAATGAAAAAACACTGTTTCCATTTAAGATCAGGTTGCTGCTGCTGCTTCAACCATAGGAGAGAACTTGAATTATAATTAAACAAGCAGAAATGAGGACACATGCGGTTGTGTGGACCTAGAGGTCCCATTTGTATTTGCTAAGACCTAAAACTGGCCAAAGCTTGAGCTTGCTTACTCAAGGGATTCAGGAGTCCCTCACCTGCCCACTTAATTTCATTAAATGTAAAGCCTTAGAAGGATTCTATCCTCCTAGTTAGCAAGCTCAAGAGTGTTGGTAGAAGGGAGAGGTGAGAAACTTAGTTGCATGTACACACACAGATTGTGACAAGCCTGCTTCCTTGGGAAACTTCTTAAAGAACTACGTGAGCAGACAAAAAACCCCTATGTCTTCCTAAAGGTCAGTTTCTGGTAATGTGTTATAAACATGAGCTGCCTGACAAATACTTCTACCCTTAGTTTTAAAATTATTTGTATTTTATGGGGAGCTCTGAAAAGCATTGCAAGACCTTGACTTTGTGACACCAGTCAGATTAAAAGGGGATAAACGGGGGCAGACAAGCAAGTGTCACCAGCTGGGGCAGACAAGCAAGTGTCACCAGCTGGGGCTGACTGACCTTTGTGTATGATCAGCTCTAACTTTTACCCAAGTCGTCTTCCCTCTGCTTAATCCAATAGCTGCCTGACCAAAAGCACTTGGAGGGATCCAGGGAGGGGAGAGCTTTGACATCATTTCTGTCTTTGGTCTTTACTGCTGGTCAAAACATAGAGCTTCTTACCAGCTTACAGCTGGCTGTGCCCCTTAAACACACCTAGATGACCTGAAGTCCCATCTATGTTCGAGCAGCCGTGGCTCTTTAAAAACAAGTTTTCGGTGGTCTTTTGAGTGCGTTTCTCTCGTTTCACCTGCCTCCAACTGACTTTTAGAAGCAAGGACAAATACAACTTTGCGCCTGGGTCTCGTACGCCACAGAC